GAGTATAGGAGGGGGTCCTAAGAAATAAGGATAGCAACATTATTTCCTTATTTTCAGGACCAGTGGGTGTGGGTGACTCCACAAGAGCAGAGATACTAGCTTCTGTAGAAGGGATTCAGATTGCAAACCAGCTTGGGGTGGAGCATTTTTTAACTGAAGGTGACTCACAGGTGGTGTTGGGATGGCTCCTTAACCCAGAGCCTGCCATTTGGAGTTATAGAGACCTCTTTAAAAAAGTGAATTGGCTGACAAGCAACATGACAGTTAGTGTTCAGTGGGTGAGCAGATCGACAAATGCTATAGGTGATTCATTAGCCAAACAAGGGGTTTCTCAGGACTGTCTGTTTTGGACTATTGTAACTTATTCAAACTGTTTTCAAAAGTTTCTTTAGGCTTTTCTGAAGAGGTCGCACCTCATGCCTCTTCTTGGGTCACTTGTAACTCCTATTTTCTGTGATTAATAAATTTCTTCATTCATCAAAAAAATAAAAATAGTGAACCTAATTCATATGAATACATCTTTGCTAGGAAAATGGCCTTGTAGGTTTCCTTTGGAAAGAGACAAGCTATGGCATAAGGTTATTGAAATCATTTATGGGATTATGAACAATGGTTTGGATGCAAAGGTAGCCCCTTTCTCAACTTCAGCTTCTCCTTGGAAATCAATTCAAGAGGTCTACCCAACATTTACCACTAGATTTGATGTGGGATGTGGGACTAGGGTTTTGTTTTGCAAAGATCTTTGGTTGGCTGAAACTCCTTTCAGTTCTCTTTTCCTTGACCCATACTTAGTGTCAAGCCACAAGCTTCAACTTATCTTGAGATTTGTTATCTTTTATCCTTTTGGGTTAAATTGGGATTTTGGCTTTAGAAGGGGGTTGAGGGAAAATGAGTTTGAGGCCCTTATTCAATTATTGGACAAACTTAAGTCAGTTTTCTTAGTTCAAAGTTCAAACTATGGAGGACACTGGAGTTTGGTTTTCTTCTTCTAATGGTATTTTTACTTGTGCCTCTTTTTCCAACACCCTTATGCAGTCCATTGTAGTGGGGGAGAATTTTCTGGTGAACAAGATATGGAGTAAGCCCATCCCACCCAAAGTTCATGCAATTGGGAAGTTATTCTTTGAAAGGTGAGCACCTATGGTGCTTCTAAAGAGGAGGCCAAATAATTGCTTCTCTCTTCATTTGTGCTTCCTTTGCTTTGCGAGTGGAGAAACCTTACTCCATTTACTAATCTCCTGCCCTTATGTGCTTTGTGTCTGAGAGTATTTTTGTTCTCTCTTTGGTTGTAGATGAGTCTTTTCAATCCAAATTTCCAAAGGCATCCAATGAAGAGAGGGAGAATTATGTGAAAAACCGTCAGGGAAGCAGTAGTGTGGACTATTTGGGAGGAAGGGAATGGAAGAATATTCAATGGTATATACAGGCCAAAGGAGGAAACTGTTGGGACTATAAAAAGCTTTTCAGTGACTGATCTAATAAGGGCATGGAATGAAGTTGCACAATCTTCCAAAGCAAAGGATGGTAATGTAATAGAAGCCCCTAGCAAGTGATAAAATAAAACTAAATTTTGATGGGAACTCCATGGGAAACCCAGGAATGGCAGGTATTAGAGGTGTGTTTAGAGACTCTTCAGGCAAGGTAATGGCTGTGTATTCTGGACCTATAGGGGTTGGAGATTCACTGATGGCTTTATTACAAGGCCTAAAATTTGCTAATCTAATTGGAAGTTGAAGGGGACTCAAAACTGGTTGTATCCTGGACCACTACTAGGCACAATGTGCCTTGGATTTATAGGCATGCTTTTAGGGAAATAGAAAGCTTGTCAAGGGACTCGAACACTACTTTTACAGTTTTACCTGGGCAAGAAGGATTGCAAATGGGTTAGCCGACACATTGGCAAAGCAGGGGATCTATAAGCAGCAGGCTAACAGCTATTTTGGACATTATTGAAACTCTTTTTATCTTGGGCATTATCTTTTTGTCTTCTATATCTTTGGGTGACTAGACAGCCTCTCTACTGCACTCTACTGTAATTTTGTTTTCACATATTAATACGATTAACAATTCCCTTCTTGATCTAAAAAAACTGAAGATTTCTCAATAACATTATGCACAATCATTTATTATTTTTTTGTGTGGTAAATATGCACAATCCTTTAAGTCACATTCTTTAAATGCCACATGAGGGCCAAATACAGATTCTCAGATTTCTTTCTGGGCATGTACTAAATGAGCAGGGAGGAAATTATTTAGCATTTGGATTTTAACCTTGAACTTTAAGCAAGTGAAATAATGAAGTCCAAATAATTGCAAGTAGTATAGTAAAAGAATCACCTTGGTGTCAATTAATTTTCTTTTTTATTTTGAATAGTAGAGTTATTGTGTTAATTGAGTGTTTTAGGGCCTTTTGCCTAGAAAGCTAAGTGCACAATATACTCCAGTGGGGGTAATTATAGGGATGCAAATGGATCGAATCAAATTTGGATAGGGGGATACTTGAATTTGATTCAATAACGTAAATCCTATATCCAATCCGATCTGATGATCCAATGGATCTCACAAAGATTAATCCAAATTCAATTCACTAAGGATGTTGGATTTACGAATCTGATTCGATTCGATTTAATTACCCACAGGTCTGTAAAATTTAACAAATTATTAACAAGAAAAAAAGAAAAAAAAAGTCTATAGAAAGAAAAACAAAAAATCAAATGGGGGCGTAAATGTCTTTTTATAAACTGACATATAATAACAGTTTATTGGATTCTTTTGGATCGGATAGAGGGTGACTTGAATTTGATCCAGTTTTTAAATAGATCATATTTTTCGATTTGATTTGAAAATCCGATAGGCATAATTGTCAAGGCGATGCCTAGGCGGATGCTTAGGTGACACCTAGGTGACAAGGCGCCCTTGGAGGCTTGCCTTACCTAATCACCAAGCAGTTTTGTATGTTGTGTTATAAAATACTTTTATATTCTTAACTTTTTGAGATTATAATTATAAAAGACATTATTAAACTAAAACATTCATTTTGTGTGTTTATATACTAATTTCCTTTTATTATTTTCTTACTTGTTAGGGTTTAATCAACACAAAAATTGCTAACTGCTGTATTCAACCCTCAAAGACTTCAAACCTGAACCAATAAGTAAGGAAGAACTTACAATTTTGTCTAATCACCACATTTTATGATTATGGATCCTAGGGAACTATCCTAGGATATATGTTTTGTACTTAAAAAATCCATCACCTAGGTGCCTGCCTAGGTGACTAGGCAACAAGGTGCCCCCCTGTTACCAAGACTCACCTTGGTGCCTTGAAAACTATGCCAACAGGGGGATATCCGAATCCAGCAAAATAGGATGTGTTTCAAATTTGAATCGGATTATGATCTGGTCCATTTGAACCCCTAGGTAATTATGCCCCTTTTATGTATTTACTAGAAGAGACCCATGCAATGCACGGGCTGGTGTTAAAATATGCCCATGTTCTATGGGGGAGTGATTAAATTCAGTTTCCTAATAAAATTAGGAAACTGAATTGGTTGTGGGTGAGTTTAAATAGTTGCATGTTTGATTTTTTTTTTTTTTTTTTAATTCAGAAAACCACAAATTCTAGGGGAGTTGGGAAGCATTAGAGGAGAGTAAGCTGATGTGGGCAACTGCATTTTAAGTATATAGAATTGATGTGAGTGTCAATAACTTATTTTTGGGTCAATATGTGAAGGCATAAAATTGCAGGCTCTTAACCCTGTTGTGTGTGTGTGTCTGTGCATTGCTTTGGATCAGAGAGATTAAAAATCTTGACATTTTTTTTTTCTGAAAATTAGGTGCACCATGGTTGTTGTTTAGTTATTTATTGATTTCATTTATAGTTTAATAATTTATATTTAATGTGTTGTATGATTATATATATTATTATTAATCTATAAATGATATTTAAACACATTACATAATGTAATCATACAACACATTAAATATAAATTATTAAACTATAAATGAAATCAATAAATAACTAAACGACAACCAAGGTGCACTTAATTTTCAGAAAAAAATGTCAAAATTTTTTAATCTCTCTGATCCAAAGCAATGCACAGATACACACACACACAACAGGGTTAAGAGTGAAATTTTATGTCTTCACATATTGACCCAAAAATAAGTTATTGACACTCACATCAATTCTATATGCATGTATGTCACCTAGGCAGTGCCTCGTTGTCTACTAGATATCAGAATTGACTTGCCAGGCCATGGCCCATAAGCAGGTGCTAGCTGCCTTAATTACATTAGTTGCAAAAGAAGATAGGTAATGGTTGGAATTAAAAACTTATTAGAAGTCTGTAAACAAAGACCTGTCCTTTGGTCCAGTGATAATAAACTAGAACGTGTTATAAAGTTTTCTTTCAGAGTACAACAGACTATCAGAGAGTTTTGTTTTGAATGAGTAAATTCTATATTTATTTAATTAGCTCAGTTAAATTTTTAGTCTTTCTTTAGTTTCATATCATTTACAGTTATTGCTTCCTTCTTGCACATTTGATATTATAGAATTTTGCTAAGTTTAAGTGGGCTGTTTTGAAGGTCTGAAATAGCTATTGGCTTTTTTTTTGGTAAGGAGGAAATGAGGCTGCACTGAATGGGGGGTAGCATGTCCTCAAAAATCACATAAATAATATTACTTAAAGGTCAACTCATATTTTAGTATTAATATTTATTTATGTAACCTTCCCATATTGGCCAGCCAATCGGCTGCTTGGTTTGCTTCCTGGAAAGTGTGAGCATAGCTGACCCTCAAGCCCTATATTTTGGTGATAATTGGTATTGACCTTTCGTTTTGGTTTGAAACCCAAAATAAAACATAGATTGCTGTTGAAAAACTAAAACAACATTATCACTCTCTATTACATAATTTTCTACAAAATTTAAAAAATTTATGGAAGAAGATTTGTAACACAGTCATTCATTATCTCCTGATTTCTTGTTGTTGTCTAGAGCGATGGGTGATGTATCAGATCGCATAGGTCGCCCCACAGACAATGGGCAGGTACTTTTCTCTTTGGCAAATATTGTTCCCCTCTTTTTCATTATCAGAACTTAGTTCCAACTATGACTGTCAAGTATGTTGATACTTCTGTAAAGGATTGATAAGTATACCTCCTTGCACTTGTGGTAGTTTTGATTTTGTTGGTAGCTTCTACAAAGTTTAGTCTGTTAACTTTGAAAATTTTCTTCTTGTGTCTAGATTGGCATAATTGATCCTGATTGTAGATTGATTGGCCTCCATCTTTATGATGGCTTATTCAAGGTATGTACTCATTGTGTAGCTTATGCTGATTTATGGCCCTAGTTTATTGCTTCATTCATCCATTGTATGTAATCTGCTCTAATTTTTATTTAAAAGCTTTAGAATAAAACCATCTATCTGTTTCTTCTTCAGGTTATACCATTTGATAACAAAGGACAGCTTAAGGAAGCTTTTAACATTAGGTATTGTCTCTTTTTCTATCTATCTATGGTTTAAGATTCTAATAAGCCGTAAATATTACATATCAAAGCTATCATTTTTGTTATTTTGGTTTGATTATCCATAACCAGAGATTGGTTTCCCTTGTCAATTTGGGGACAGATTTTGTTGTTTTTTTTGAACTTTTGCTGGAAACATAGAATGACATAAAAATTTAGCAGTTTGTTTGAACCAATTGAGAGAAAAGGTAGAATAAGACGTTGAGGCCTTTTGAGGAGCTTCCTCACAAGAATAATTTTTGTTTTATGGATGGGGGATGCCCCCTTCTTCACCTGGGTGGACCCCTTTGTGTTTTTTGCCTGCGTGTCATGAATCTTTTGGCATGCTGTTTGTATGTTTATGTCACTCTCTTTTGACCAGTTATTCTTTTGCATTGTTAGTTGCCAATGGTTGTAAATCAGTTTAGTATGATTAAGATCAAAAGATCTAGATTAATCTCTGTAGAAGAACCAAGTTTCAGGTGAGAAACTAATGACGAGAAAGAATAACTGAAGGCAGATTGTGAGCCTTACTGATCAAAAAGATTGTGGGCCTTAATGTGAGACCCTATTCTCTTTTCTACTTGACAAAGAGTGGGGGATGTCTTCTAAATTCACATTGCTCAGACAAACTGCAGCAGAATGGAGGTCTTTAACAAAAATACCATCCAACCTTGCTTTACACAGAGTGGCTATAGAGGCAAAAACATCTGAAATGGTAATCCCCGAATCCAAACAATTACTTTGTCTTTCTCATGCAAATCCTTGGAGTTAGAGCGAGGGGACCATTTTGAAACAGTCACTGAAGCTGACTCCAACTGATAACACATGGTATGGAGTTCCAATTTCTCTCCTACTAATTCTAGAAGGGCTTTGCATTTTTCAAAGGGGGTTAAAATTATAGTGCAGTTTAGCTTCATGTTTTTCAGCAACTCTTCAGCAATCTTCTTCCAATCTTGCAGTGGTACTGACAAGGTTACACTAAATTTCTCCTCCCAATCATTCCTGTGCATATTGCAGACCATTCTGCAATCCTTTGCTGCTTTAGCCATGATCTGCATTTCTGTTTCTTTTTAGGCTTTTCCTTGTGCTTTTCCACTTTAGAGTCTCCAGTAATCCCTTGTGCTTCTTCGACAAGTTCCACTCTGTTATCTTCTCTAGCTTCCTCCTGAGAAGAGTAGGCCTTCAAGATTTCTGTGACCTCTTTCCAGCCAGTTCCATTCATTCCTGCAGGGAAGCATACCATTTGCTTTTTCCCTTCCCCAAAAAATTCCATGAGCACCACATATCTTCCTTTAACATTCTTCCTTCTTTCTACTACATACCTCCTACCAGCAAAATCAAATGAATCTTTGCATACAAGCTTCCTACTCACCTGAACAACCTCCTCCATGAAGGTCTGAAACCACCCCAGAGTTACTTCCCCTACCAGAAACACCATCACCATGTTGACTTTCCTGATCTTTAATGCTTTCTTCCCCTTCATCCTGAAGCTTTCAAACAGAAAATGTTTTTCTTCAACCCTTAGAGGCCTTCTTAGAGCCTCAGTCTTCTGAAAATTCCTTTCCTCCCTTTTCCATTTTCTCCAACCTCTATTCCCAAACTGAGCCTAAAGTGCAGTTCAGTCTTTTTTTTTTTTTTTTTAAATGGAGACCATTAAGAAGAAATTTCAGATGACTACAGATAATTTGATTTAATGCTTGATAGAGTCAAATTTTCTTGGTCTTTTCTTCCCCTCATTTAAACAAATTAAAGGAATTCACTATAGACAATGTAACTACTATCACATGTTAGGATCTCTATAATCTGTGTGGAGGTGATTGTTTTGTGTAGCTTTCAATTTTTTGGGTAACAAGGAAGTAGACTTAACAAGGAGTGTATAAAAGCATTTATATGGGGCCAGGCCCTTAATTGATTATCTATCAGAAAAGGAGTGTATAAAGGCCTTGTGAACAATTATCCTAAGAAATTTAAGTTTATGTATTTTAATTTTAGATAATAGGTTTTTTAAAACAATTATTTTAAAATTTAAGATTTTATTTTTTATTAATATTATGTTTGATATTTTTTTGATTTGTTTTGCATTTTTTTTTGTATTTTCGTGCCTTGCTTCAAAAAGGCACACACCTTGTGCCTTGTGTCTCGAGCACAAATTGCCTCTTGCGCTTTTAAAACACTGGTTTTCTGGGGTATTGGGAGGGGTGAACTGGATATGGAACCTAAGTACCTACTACCTAACCTTTGGCATTCTCTTTCATGAAGTGACCACCTTCAAACTTGAACCTGTGTTGTTATGCTTGCTAGCCTGATATTTTACACTTGCACCTACCAATGGTCCCTACCCAATTGTCTTTGTAATGTATGTATATTTTTCTATATTTTACATACTCTTTTGCTGTTCAACTCTCCTGATATTTTGTCAAATCTTATATCTTTGGATTTGCTACGAATTTCAGGCTTGAAGAGCTTCAAGTGTTGGATATCAAGTTCCTATATGGTTGTTCAAAGCCTACAATTGTTGTCCTCTACCAGGTTTTCAATTTTATTCTTTTATCATATCTGCTTCATGATCTCTCCTGGTCCTTTGAGTTTCTCAAATTCATTATTAAGCTTTTAGGTTTGTCCCTAAAAGCTGATTATTGACTTATTGTTATAAATGGATTTGGTTTCCATACCATGTGTAACCTCCCAAATGGTGGGTAACTGTCTATATGCTCAACCCATTGGGTTGTCTTCTTGTTCTAAACTGTTGAGGTTTTAGTCATCATCACCATCATTGGTTTTTATTATTAAATAAGGTGACTGTTATGTTTGGCAACAAAATAAAGGGGACCTCATAGGTATTCAACTTTTCTAAACTGCAGGACAACAAAGATGCACGGCATGTTAAAACATATGAGGTCGCACTCAAAGATAAAGATTTTGTTGAGGGTCCATGGTCACAAAATAATCTTGATAATGGTGCATGTCTATTAATACCTGTTCCCATGCCTCTTGGTGGTGTTATCATTATTGGAGAAGAAACTATTGTCTATTGTAGTGCTACTGCATTCAAAGCAATCCCTACTAGACCAGTAAGTGCATGCATACTCAATGCTATAATAAAGTTGTAGTTGTATTGGATCATTATTTTCCTCTACTGTTTCTTGATTGTTTAATGTTCTTTTCCAGTCAACTACAAGAGCTTATGGAAGGGTTGATGCTGATGGTTCCCGATACTTGCTTAGTGACCATGCAGGGTTACTTCACTTACTAGTTATCACCCATGAAAAAGAAAGGTGAGAGCTTATCTTTTTGGGATTTTAATGCCTGAACTGCTCAATTGACTAGTTAGATTCTTCTGTGAGAACAGAAACAGATTGTCAATTTGGTTGTTAGTTTCAAGCCTATAAGATTGTTGTAATGATCTTCATCATTTATTCATTTTTAATTGTTGGTTATATTTATGCACCTAAGTTTGTACTACTTGTTTTGGTCTTGTAGGGTTACTGGACTTAAAATTGAACTCTTAGGGGAGACATCAATTGCATCAACAATATCATATCTAGACAATGCATTTGTCTATGTTGGATCATGTTATGGAGATTCACAGGTTTGTAGTGAAATTTATAGATTTTCTTAACAGAAATTCATACACTTGCATGTATCCTTGCACATTGGGAGGGAGGAAGTTCCCGATTTACATATATCTGGATTTTTGGGTTATAATCCTGAACTGGTATATGATTGTTAACATTACTTCTTCAGCTTCTCATGTTTACTTCAGCTTTACTTTTGAGGCATTAGGTCCCTTTGTGGGTTCTGACCATAAGGTTATACCCTAACACAAGGTATTTTTTAAATATGATAATCAATGACTTGGTGACCAATGGATGATATGGTATATAAAGTGAATAATGAAATTGCAATTCTTAAGCCCACTGTTTGTATTATTAGACAACAATTTTCTATTGGGAACAAGCAAGGTTTAAAATGTCAGTTTTTATGAAAATGTTGACTACTTTGAAAATAGGAGATATTAATCACAGAAATACTATATCTAGTTATTTTATTTTGTTTAGAACATTATCAATATTAATAGTAATCTTGAAAAATTACTGTCTTTTGAATATAGAAGAAACAACCACACATAGACTCTCCAAAACTGCATAAAATAGATAGATGTCTTGCATCTTCCCCCCTGTTGCTCATATATCAAATACTATCAAAATGGAAGTCCTTTCTTTTCTAGTAATCCAATGCAAGTATACTGTCCATTTTAAACCCTTTTTCATTGTTACTGGTTCAAAAAAAGGGCCAAATGCATTGGATATCAGATTGTTCAACCTGATTGTGGAGAATTGCATTATAAAATGATATTGCGGGAACTGTCAATTCCTATACTCCTACCATCTTTCATCTATTTTTTTCTGGAGCAATTTCCTCTTTCTCAAGCTTACTTAACAGCAGAATGCACTCTTCCACTTCTTTCTCCAGAAGTGATCTTAAGAATTTAGGACACCAAATCACCTCTCCCACTTTCGAATTCAAAGTATTGACTAATTATGATATCTTTCATTCAGCCTGTATAATCCAGGACACAAAGCAGATAATCTTCCAACTCTGTTACAATCATCTTTGCAAAAACAGATTCTGGACTCCTCCCCCACCCTGAACTTTGTTAAAATAAAGAAAGCCGGCTGAAAACACATAATGCCCTTCCAAAGACATACCCCATGTGTGGATGTGACCTCTTTATTGTCCCATAATCCCATTAAAATCTTGCTATTCTGTATTTACAGGCTATAACCATCCTCTGCAGTTATTTGTTATCGGAGAAAGGCCGTTTAAAGCTGACTGGCCATAGTGGTCAATTTGGAAAAAGGTAGGATGAACAAGTTATTTAAGTCTCTATCTAGTCAAGAAAATCCCTCTGATGAAGGTATCTCCCACTCATATTTGACAAAATCTTTGTCCATAAAAACATGGAAGAAATTAATTATAGCAATATAGAGAGATCACTTCAAAACTGGAGTACTTGACTAATCCTAAAATAGCACCTTCAGAAATTTATAAGGAATCTTTAGTCTTAAAACAGACTTCAATATAAGGACAGTAGAAAGAACAATAACGCTAGGACTGAAAGTAAAGACTTCCATTTAATAGATAGGAAAACTATTGAATTGAAGCCTCTAAAAGAAAAACTGACTGTAACTTTATTCATTTTATCTTTATCCAGGTAGCCATAAAACCTCTCACCAGGTTAGGACTTCAAAGTGCAGCCTTAGCTTGTCTTAGAGATTCTAGACATAATAAGTTTAGTGACTCCTTAATAGGAGTAATTGAAGGTAGTCTGCATCAAGGTCCCATATACTTCAATGCATTCCCCAATTTCACAGTTTCAATCACAGACACAGGAATTCATGAGGTGTTAGCCTTGAGACTGCAAACTCAGGGTTTCAACATGAATCCGGGATCCAAGAATGTTTCTTTACTATATAGAGTCTATTTTAAAACAATGAATACTTTATGCCCTGATACTAGGATAACAGATGTAAAAGGAATGTCAACCTTATTCCAAACCAATGCAAGGAATAATACTACTATTCCAAAACCAATCATGTGGAAAGATGTTCAATTACCAGAAAGCTGGACGATGGCTAATGTTGATCCGTCTAGACCAATAGAGTCTACTGAGTTAGACTCAATAAAGTGCAAATGATGGAACTGTAGAACTGAGATTAAGAAGGGTTTCGATCTCATCTAGACATTCTAGTAGCGAACCATTAGAAATAAGACCTGCCCCTTCTAGGAGGTCACTAGATTTGCTAACACCACCTCCAGGTATTATGTATGCCACCTATGAAACCCCAATCCAGACCACTCCACCTTCGGTATATGAAACCCCAAGGGCAGCTCCACCCTCGGTAAGATCTTATGAGCCAACCGAGGCTGATTTTGAATCTTTTTGAAATAGAAGAAGAATTTCAAATAGATAAAACTTTCTTAAGAATAGACTTTAATTCTCAAATTAAAAGAAGAAAATGCTTTTTTAATAACTACTCTAAAAAAGATAGAGATCTCATAAGAACACTATGGTACGATAGAATGACAAGCGAAGAAGAATTAGCCCTATGTACTACCTAGAAATTGACCAAACCAAGCCTACTCTAATTAAAAGAGAGAAACCTTTGATAACCCCACATGAACTCCCAACAGAAATCAAATTAAAAAAGGAACCTTTAGACTTCTCACTATTAGGGTCTGTTTGATTGCTGGGAAAATTGGGCTGAGAAAGGATGGGATGAGAAGAGGAAAAATTATTTTCTCAGTTAGTTATAGTGCGTTTGTTTGCTGAGAAAATCCACTTTCCAGTGTTTGTTTTGCAAGAAAATTTGAGAAAAATCATGCTCAAATTCAGTCATCATCTCCCAAGCAACAAGCAATCAAAAGCATCCCCAGCCCCTTGTACGCAATTTCTATCACCCATTAGGCCTGAAACATAACACCTTAATGACCTCTCCAATCTCACCTCAAAGCACACATGCACACACACACATTTGGATCAGCCATCAAAGTCCATGGTTTCTGCACTCTCAGTATTTGGATTTTGGATCAAACTGATGTTAACTCCTTTTAGCTCTTTTTGGAACAGCCAGAGGGGACAGAGACTCAGAGAAACTCTTTTCACCATAAGCTTGCATGAATTACCAAAAGATCAATCAACATTTACAAATAGATTTCAACAAATTTGATGGTTAATAAAAGAACAAATAGATTGGTCTATGACAAATCATCAGTTTCTATTTTATGGACCTGCCTAGATTAATCCATAGGAATCTTTTATTTTGGAGATAAACTCATATAGTAAGGGGATTTGTGAAAGTGTTCAAAATATAAGGAACCCATTGATTCCAAATTCCAAATACTTGAAAATGTGCTCTGTCTTTAGTAACAAATTACACTACAAAAAATTCTGTTATTATGGCTAAAGATGTAGCCAATAGCCATTCACCAGGACAAGCATTGGACCTAAAGCCAGTGCCACTGAACAAGCAAGTAAGCATGGCCAAGCCAAATATTTCAGAAACAGTCTAGAGAAAGACTTAAAACCAAGCACAAATTGTAACTTTGAACTATGGGGCTGGGGTCTGGGAAGAACTTAAAAAAAAAAATAAAAAAAGAAGAAAGAGGAAGAAGAGAAAAGGTCTGGTTCGAATTAGGGAAAAGTCAACCCTAGTTTCGGCCAGACCTGTTATTATATTATTAATATAATTGGAAAAGACATAAGTGCCCTTATTTAAGTAAGAGGCACTCGAACTAACATAATAGCACACATCAGCATTCTCAACAGGTACAAAGACCGAAATACCCCTTCACTAACAGAAAGAACTGTTTATCTCTGGACTTCCTCTTCGCTTTGCGGAAAAAGTGAGAAACCAATTACATCACCAATTCTGATTGCTATGCTATTTTGTCCAGGTTCACAATCAGCCTGATAGCATCTCAAACCACAAAGCTTTCTTAAATAAACTACTTGATGCACTGAAGCCTTCAAGTAGTTTATTGTCTGGTTGGTTGCAGAATGAAGAGATGGGGTTCTGGAAATTTTTAAATGAAAAAAAGAAATTTAAACAGCTGTCTCAAGGCATGGAAATTAAATTTCAATGGATTAAGAGAAGTGCAAACTCCTTTGCTGACTCACTTGCCAAACAAGGGGTGGGAAGAGAGTCTTCTTTGGGCATTGTTGTAATATGAATATCATTCTCAGGGAGGGTTAAGAGATTTTACCCCTCCCTCCTTTCTATTGTACTTTATGCTATCATTAAAAAAATTCTGTTATCCAAAAAAGCCTTAAAAAAATTCAATGTATCATCTTACATATTGTAAATTTGTGATTGACAGACCTTGACTGCCCAATTGGAAACCTTATACAAGCCCCACTTCTACACCCCTAAGAGCTAATGTACTTGGCAACTGCACCTCCATCACAAAGAACAGAGGATATAATGGATCACCCTGCCTTAACCAGTGTTTTAAAAGGTGCAAATCAGGCAGACACCTAGGTACATAGATCAGGTGCTTTTCAAGGCATGTTCCTTGGATGAACCCAAGCACAGTCCCTTTCAAAAAGCACATACATGGTGCACTGTGTGCTCCAGCCTCAGCAAGCACCATTTTCCAATTGCCTTTCTTTTTGTTTTTCTTTTTCTAGACTTTATGTGTTTTATATCTTTGTAATGATTTATCAACTTTAAAATGACCTTTTATTGCTGTTTGTATAATAGTAATGGTGTATTAACTTTTAAAATGAACAAAAGCAAAGATCTATTTAAATACTCAAAGCCTTAGCTCTTGCAAATAGGATCTCAAATGGCAAAATTTCCACTAAGGAAGCAACAACAGTACAACTAATATATTGATCCATAATCTTAAAATAGAATGAACTTTGTCTAAAGTCACAAAACTAATCTCTTTGTACTTATGGACTAAAAATTAAGGTCAAGGATGTTGCCCCAAATTCTCACATGGAATTGTTGAGGCTTGCCTTAAAGGGCCTTTACAAAGGAAGAGGGTCGATTTCTTAGAATTAGGAATGCAAGTTGTTTGACTTACACCAGCTACTTGAAGTAATGCAGCTAGGAGATAAATAGACTGAAAATTTCACATGCTTGAATCATTAGTGCTTGAAGCACTTTGCTATAATTCACATATGTCATATATTTAAATCCATAATATAAATCCTGTTGTTACTGATAAAAAAAATTAATTCAGGTATGTCTACTTTCAGTTCCATATTTTCAGTTTGAATAAGTTCATATATTATGCTTATGTATTTTGATTTGAGCCGATAGGCTTTTTAAAACACTATGTTTCTTTTAAAATGTAAGTTTGTATTTTTTTCTAAGCATTATTCTTTTTTTTTTTCAAAAATTTGCCTCTCGCTTTAAAAGATGCATGGTTTCCCTTCCATCTTGCACCTTGTGTGTTAGAAGGCTTTTGCACTTTGTGCTTTTAAAATATTGGCCTTAATCCTCTCGGAGTCTGGAGCCTAGAAGAACTTGGAGAGTGATATATTTGCATTCACTAAGAATGACACCAATGAATTGTATTCTGCTAAGAGTTTGGTTAAGCTCTCACCTCTAAGGGGAGGTAACATTTCGTGCCTCCTGGCCCTCCTCTTAGGGTGAATGTAAACTTCCTTTCTTATTAATAAAATCTTTATTCATTTATCAAAAAAAAAGAACAACACCAGTGAAATGCAGGCAAAAATCTGGCATCTCTAGTTTTCTCCAAATCCAATTAATCTAAGCAACTCCTTCAAAAAACCCCACTCCACATGATCATATGACACTTCGAGATCAATGTTGCAAATTAAACCAACTTCTCCACTTCTTATTCTTGAGTCTATATGTTCACTAGCTGCCAACACACCATTCAAAACTTGTCATTTGAGTAGGCCTTACTACATGATGCAAGTATGCAACAGTGTCTTCAACCTCTTTGGACAATAGTGATACCTTTTCTATGATCTTGCAAGGGCTAGAAATTAGACTAAGGGGCTCTTTGATAGAGGCTCACTGAAGTTGCTGAACTGGATGAATTATTACTTTGTCCTTCAGTGGATAAAATATCTAAATGATAAAATATTCATGGGTATAGTAATTAAACCAATTTCAGCTTTGGCTGTTAAGGTGTCCACAACATCCTTAACAACTTATTCACTGTTCACTAACAGGCAAGACAATAAATCATTCAGTGCAGTTGGTATCGAATGTCCCCTAGTTGGTCTGACATCCTTCACTTCTATGGCACCATCAGCATTTGGAATTAAAGAAACAAATGTTGCATTTTCAGTTTTCCCTACATCTTATGTATAGAATGCTCTCTAAATATATATTTTTTATTAGTAATGGTCAAGTTTTTATTTATTGATGTATGTAAAGAATCTGTAAAGGTGAGTATATTGCCAATTATTTTGGGATTACTACTGCTGCTGACCCTTTGCTTTTCTCTTCTTTCTTCGTTATAAATCATTTGGGGAATTAAACCTCAAAATAGCTGATGTCTACAGTCTACCTACGCCCTGCATTTCTGGTGCATCAGCCACAGTATTGGCCCTATTCTTGAAATAATAAAATAACAAGGCATACTATTGGCTGATCTTGATGTCTGCCTGTAGTTGACACCCAACTTCCTTCTGATGTCACAAACTTCATTTTTATAATTCAATGAACACACGTCGTCATTTAAGATGCAACCTACATTAACATGGGAATTGCCTTCCATCATCATATTTCTAAAGTTTAGGAATTTAGCAATCATCATTCATTGTTGGATTGCCATCAGTTCTCCCATTGTAGACTCACCATACTTGATGGGTCCAGAGAACAATGCTAGCATATGTTCCTCATAGTTTCTAATAATACTCCTATTCCTGAATTGGATTACCAAGATTGAAACCATCAAAATTCATCTTTATCATATTGTAATGAGGCTGAAAATATAAGATAGGTTATGGCCTTCTAGTTGTGGAAGGACTCACTACAATTTGCCAATTCGTAATGATACCATGAATGACAAAAAGGGAGAAGGCATCTAACAAATTCACCCAAGGAGAAGGCATCTAAATCCAATGACCAATTTTGCAAAAACATCTGCTATAATAGCTTCCTTTGTTTGGATCTTATCTTTGAATGTTCTGACATTCTTTCTTCTCAAATGTATCAAAACGTGGTTGCTCTAGCACATTTCCACAAATCTTGCCTCTTGTTATGTAGGGTAAAGGAAAGAAGAGCTTTAGCTTTTTATCGAGACTATTGGGAGATATTGAAAGATGGGTTGTGTGAGATTTTTAATGAGTCTGCTAATAGGTCTTCTATAAGGCTAGGTATCAATCCACTTTTCTATCTCTAATTCTGATAAAGAAAGATGATATCCACCTTAAGGATTTTAGGCCTATAAGTTTGGTCATGAATATTTACAAATCTATCATAAAAGTCCTATCCTAAAGGTTGAAAGTTCACTCCCATCCATTATTAGTCGGTTTCAAGGAGGTAGACTCTCCCTTGATATTTTGAACCATTAATTCAGGCATCTATAAAGGGAGATGAAAGGTATTTTCAATGTTATAAGAGCTGCAGTTGTTTGGGTTCCAAGGTCTCCAATGCTTTGGCAGATACTCTAGCAAAAAAAGGGGCAATGAGGAATCAGATATATTGGGGCCTACTTCCCGGGGAGGGACGGGGGAGTCATAAAAGTTCTGTAACAGGATATGTTAGATATGGTTAACCACAGTTAACCATTACTATGGGTCTTTTTATGAAAACTCCTTGTAACAATCTAATTTTTATCAATAAATCAGTACTGTCACTTTTCATAAAAAATACTTTCCAGCTCTCTAGATGGCCCTTCTTTATCAATTAATATTCCCAAAATAATAAACATTCCAAGACAAATTGATCTTTTAACTTTGACAAATTTTCACCAATATGAGATCATCTCTACCTTGCACCTGAAAGTTTGGCCACCCATGTTCAAACTCTGAGAACTCTAGATGCCCCAGTTACAGGTTTCCAAATATAAATGATTTAGGTCTGTACATATTAAAGAATCTTCTTAATAGTATTGCATTATAATCAGATAGAAAATTCATGGAAACCTCTTGAATCAAAGCAGAACGATTCATGTTCCAACCCCCATCAAATAAGTATAGGGCTGTCAACGGGTCGGGTCTGGGTCCAAACCAGCTGGAACCAGAACAAACCCAACATGAAGTGTTGAGGACCCGGACCCGATAGGGTCTGTAATTTTTGGACCCGACCTGACCCAAACCGATTGGTTCTCGGGACAATCGGGTCTGACCTGACAGACCCGATTATAATAAATAAAAATAAATATTTATGTTTAATATATATTATATTATATTTATTTATTTATTTAATATATTATACATTATATATATTGGGTCGGGTCTGAATTGGTTTGGGACTAGGTGGAACCGGTTCCAAACCGATAGTCATCTGGACCCTATATCAGGACCCAGAACCGGCCCAATCGGCTCGGGTCCGTCGGGTCAGACCTGACCCATTGTCAGCCCTAAATAAGTATTTATCCATCCTAAGGTGAGTTTACCCAACACTATGTGAAAGCAGCTGCCCACCAAAGGAAGACTAATCAGTGCATTAACTCCCCAAAACTCCTCATAGACCCTTTAGACTCTCCCTTCTCTTCCTCGTTGATTTCATAAAGCCATCCTACAATGTCAAAATCCCCCTGCCTGCCCTTTCAAACACTGTGGTGATTGGTGAGTTCACATTTGGTGTGAAAGTTACATTTCCATTCAAAATCCCCTCACTTTTGTTGCCCCTTTTTTCCCTAAGATTTCTTGCACAGAATTATCTCATTTTGTACAAAATGTTCCTTGGTGCTTTGTGCATGTACATATTTTGACCTACATCATGGTCATCATGCTTCTTGCATTATATGCTATTGTCTATTTAAATTCCTCGTATGCAGTTGTATGGTTTCATCTTAGGTCCGAAAGAAATATTTTTGTTGACTTTTATACCACTGTGGTCAATAAAAAGGTGCCAATTGATTCTATTACTTCTATTGATGGATATAACCCTTTTTATTTGATATTGTTTCTTTGTTACTTCCAATTGGAGCCCAGATGCTTAAGGTGTTACATATTTAGGCACATGCACTCATTTTTAGCCAATTAAGCATTGTACTCTTGCTTAGTACATATTTGCTAAACAAATATTCAGCTTTTTGGGGTTTTGGTTTGAAATTGCACTGTCATTGTTCTTATATTTATCAATTTGATAATCTTGGCCTTCTGCTTGTGTTACCAAAGTTTAATACTAGCAATACTATTTATACAGCTCATAAAGCTAAATCTCCAGCCAGATGCAAAAGGCTCATATGTGGAAGTCTTAGAGAGGTATGTCAATCTGGGGCCTATTGTGGACTTCTGTGTGGTTGACCTTGAGAGGCAGGGCCAAGGTCAGGTTGTAACTTGCTCAGGAGCTTATAAAGATGGGTCCCTTCGCATAGTTCGAAATGGTATAGGGATAAATGAACAGGTAAGGTTATTTGCAGTGGTTTCTTTCTTTCTTTTATGTATCCCTATATTTTTATACACACACACACACATAGACACAGATAGATAGGTCTCTTTACAGTATATAATTGTCTCAATGCAGGCATCTGTGGAACTTCAAGGCATCAAGGGAATGTGGTCTTTGCGATTGTCTACTGATGATCCTTATGACACCTTCTTGGTAGTAAGCTTTATCAGTGAGACACGTATCTTGGCAATGAATCTTGAAGATGAATTGGAAGAAACTGAGATCGAGGGTTTCTTTTCACAAGTGCAAACTTTGTTTTGCCATGATGCTGTGTACAATCAACTTGTACAGGTAGGTTTTCTTCTTGTTTTTCTTTTGATCCATTCTTTTATTTTTGTTTTGAATGTTGGTCTTTCTTTTTGTTTTGTTTGTTTGTTTTTTTATTAATGAGATATGTATAGCAATGTACAAAAAGAAGAAATAAAGCCTCTTGGAAAAGCCTTCTGTCTATACCCAGAATAATAATCCTATTAAAACAAAGTTTCCTTTTAAAATTGCTGAATCTTTTCCCTATCAAAAAGCTGCTAATATTTACACAACTTTGAACCATAGGCCCATCCATTCCTTTGATAATTCTATGTTGTATCTTTTTCTTTTATTTGGTAAGTAACGAAATTTATTAATATAAATAAAAAGTTTCACTCGATACAAGAATCCCTTCTACCAACTCCATTCAACAACCACAGAACATATATCAGCTACCAATCTCCTTGTGAGCCATACTTTCATTCAAGATACGTCTGTTTCTTTGGTTCTAAATGCCCCAGAATTCACAGAAAACTGCAAAAGGAATGGCGCTTCATAACATTTTGGCCTTTCTTCCATCTGGAAGTGAAAATCACATAGGAAAGATCTCATAGGACAAGTTCCGTTGGAGCCTTGGATGCTTGAAGAATACATGCAATGGTCCACTATTTTGTCTTATTTGCATTCTTGTACTTAAAAATATTTTGAAACTTCTATTTATTAAGAAAAATTGAAACTAATCATATATAATATATTAAAAAAATATAATTGTTATATTATTTAAAAAATATAATTTGTATTTATTTATTTATTTGTTGAAGGCAATCCGGGTCACTCTGGAGTCTGGAGTTGGGGTGATATGAGATAAGGAAGGACATGTCTTTGCACTATTCTTGGGGCCAGTGGGAGTGGGGGACTCTACCAGGGCTGAATTGTTTGCACTGTTACCAGGAGTTCAACTTACAAGGGAGCTGAATTTGGTTAACTTGTTGATTGAAGGTGACACTAAGTTGGTAGTGGGATAGCTAAAAGAACTAGAGTCTATAACTTGGTGTCACAGGAATGAAATTAAGAGATCTAATTGGCTAACAAGGAATATGGCATCGAGAATAGAGTGGGTGAGGACTGCCAATGCTTTTACTGATACTCTAGCTAAGCAAGGGATGAATAGGGATCAATTGTATTGGGCTAAGTTGTAATTTGTAATTTTTATCTAATGTGATGGGATAGGTCGCATCTCGCACCTCTTTTAGCATTGCTTGTAATTGTTTTACCTCTATTGATTATCTTTCTTGATTAATACATCAAAAAAAATATATATAATTTGTTTACAGCATGCAAACACATGCATAGAGGCACACATACACCTAATAATTTTTTTTCTTACATATCATATAAGAATATAAGAACAAAGGTGATATGCACCGTTATTACATTTCATAATTGTTTTGGGGTTGTGCTTATAACCCATATTATGAAACTTTGGGAAAGGGTGATTGATCAATGACTAAGACATGAAACTAGTTTGTTAGAAAACTAATTTGGATTAATGAGGTCAGCACTTATAATGGATATGGCATTAATCAGAGCAGAATGGCAAAGCAGGGTTCATGGAGCCAACTCCATATAGTTGGAATCAGGCTTGGATGATGAGGATGTATGAATTAACTAGACATTCACAGTGTATGTTGTTTGCTGATGATATAGTTTTGATTGGTTCATTGTAAGGCTAAATATGGTCTGAATGCAAATCTAGAAGATTGTAGAGGATGCTTTAGTACCAAAATCTTTCAAGTCAGACTAAAACATAATGCATGTATTGCAATTTTAGAGAAATATTAGTAACAGTAGCAGCGCAATTAAAATGGTGATCAGGAGATACCCCAAATTAGCAACTTTTGGTACCATGGATCAATTATTCGTAACGAGGGAGAAATTGAAGAGAGAATTGGTTATTTATTAAAGGATTTAAAACTCTTTTTGAAAGAAAAATATTTTTGCTTACTTTCCAAAAGCATTTTCAATCCTTCAATAAAAATGGAGCCCTTCTAGAAAGTAAGGGTTCCATCCTCCATAATGAGTTTTCTTTTTAATTTTTTTAGTCAAGAAAAAAGAGTTGAGGTGTTCAAGGAAACAAATGGTAGGGTGGTTTAAGGTAATTTTAAAAATATAGGTCTAAGCTGAATGTGAATCAAATGTGATTTTTTGGTGTTCAATTTTAGAGAAATATAATGCTGTAAATCTGTAAGATCTCCTAGAAGAAAGACCTAACATGTTGATAACTTTTATAGAGTTCTCTGTTTTAATGTAGTTTGTGTACATCATTGAGGTGACATTGCCAAGTCATACATTACACATATACATGTTCTTCCCTTTATCAATGAAAGTATGTTCTACTTGTTCAAAAAATAAGCAAATTCTGTGCAAGCAATAAACTGATGTGCCTGCACAATGGCAGTTCAGTGATCTATTAATCCATAGTGGTTTATTTGTGTATGATGTTCCTTTTTCTTTTTATTTTTTTATAGCTTTCCTCATTATACTCGGTTCAGTGATATTTCTCACCTTGTAAGCCTAGTAAATTATTGTAGCAGAGCATATGGAACTTGATGGAGTGGTATTAAAAGGATTTCTGTAACTGACCCCAGATAAATGGGACAAGTCTTGATTGATTTACCTGTGATCTGTGACATTATTGGCTGTAATAGTGTTGCTGAGCTTATGTCATTGGAAGTTTTGTTGTATGTAATTCTTGTTAGATATAAATCAGTGGTTCTCCTCTGTTTATCAGTAAATATGATCCATATCTTTGCACTGTTGTCTTTGTTGCAAATTATTTTAGCTTGAGATAATCTGGCTCTTAACAGTTGTGTAAAAATTAATCCTTACAAAATAATCCCTCATCATGACAGGTCACTGCAAGCTCTGTACGATTGGTCAGTTCTACATCTCGAATGCTGCTTGATGAGTGGAAAGCCCCTTCAGGATTTTCAGTTAATGTTGCTACAGCTAATGCAACTCAGGTTCTCTTCAAACTTTTTTGGTTGATAATGAGTATTGAAACATATATGTCTGTCAAATGTCTTCACTTTGGGGGTTGCTGTGTCTGACACTATGTTTCAACATATGATACTTGTTTTTGTTTCAACATTTAAAGGCCTATGCATGGGTCTGTAAACGGATTGGGTTCAACATAATGCAAATCCAATCTGATTAATGAAAAGGTGAATCTGAACCCAATCTGAAATCTGATTGGATTTGAAGATCCTGGATCGGATTCAAATCCTATCAGAATTGGATCAGATTTGGATTTAATCGGACTCCACTTCATTTTAAAAAATAAAAATAAAAAGTTAATTACTTTTATAAATTATATATAATAAATAAATATAAATATGAAATGTTGAATTTATTATATATATAATTGGATAAGATGCAGGTTTTAAAATTTAAACGAATATCCAATTATGTAAACAGATCATCCAAATGCAAGATAATCAGATTGGATATTGGATCAGATTTCGGACTTTTGGAGTCAGTTGACAGTGCTACCTGTGCATAACTATTCTGTTGTTTTTTTTCCTGGATTCCATACTGTACATGCACATACACCCACCTATCTGTATGAGCAATTTAAAGACATCTCCTTATATTATGTGGTCGAAAGATGATATCAATTACAAAATCATGATCAACCAGATATTACTTAGATCCTTGACCTTGACCTCATAGCCATTGGAAATTGGGATGTGGCAATGGGTTCTGGCTCTCCAATTGGTGTTGTTTCATCTTCAATTCATCTGAGTTGACCATTTATTGGACAGTATCGATCACTGGATTCATTTATTGATTGTGAGAGAAGATTGAACATTTCACTGTTTGTTTCATAATTTTTTTAGTAGGGAACTCAAGGTTTTATTGATGACATAGTTGTCAAGGAGTCTAGGTGATTCTGGGGGACAGGCAACACCCGGGTGATGTGAATGTTGTAAAATGAAAAACTAAAATTTTCTTCTCTTTATTGAGAACATTAAATTTCCTCTCAAAACATGGAAAATCATTGCCTTAGGACAATAGTGTTTCTAACATATTAATTTCAATGATTTTATAAACTATATTACTATAATAAGTATATAATCAAGCAATTTCATATCAATTTAGCAACTATAAAAGGCTATAATTATACTTTACCTTTTCTCAAAAAAAAATGATAAAATTTGAGAGTAAGCAAAAGGGGGAAAAACGAGGGTGAAACAGCTCTTATATTTAATGTAAGAGAGAGAGAGAGAGAGCACATAAAAAGGAAAAACACTCTTTATGCTTCTTTCTCGCTTCTAAAACCCTTGGATCTTTTAAATTTCAACAGTAAAACTTTAAAACAAAGTATAAATTATATATTGTATATAACAAAATATACAAACACACGTATTAGTAAGATGAAGCAATATGAATGATATTTTAGTAGGGCACCTGCCTAGTCATTTTTGTCACCTAGACAGGTGCCTTGTTGCTACAAGTCAAGGTGTTCAGGCTAGGCACCCAGCCATGGACGCCTACACAGCACCTTGACAACTATGTTTAATGTTTCTCTTTTATAGTTTATTTTGTATTAATTGATGGGGTATTATTTGAAATTTGGGTGATTTCTAACACACTGAAAATGTTAATTGAATTTTGGTTTTCTAATTTCCTACAGGTTTTACTGGCTACTGGAGGTGGTCATCTAGTTTACATAGAAATTGGTGTTGGAAAATTGACAGAAGTAAAGCACATACAGTTGGAATGTGAAATATCTTGCCTTGACATAAACCCTGTTGGTGAAAACCCTAACCACAGTCATCTAGCTGCAGTTGGAATGTGGACTGATATCAGTGTTAGGATATATTCCCTTCCAGGTCTGGATCTCATCACAAAAGAGCATTTGGGAGGAGAGATTATTCCTCGTTCTGTCCTTTTATGTGCCTTTGAAGGGGTATGCTTGTATTTAACTTTGCTCTCTTTCCAAATTTTATGGAATTGGTTCTGTTAATGGATGTTATGATACAAGATGTGACAAGTGTTGGAAACTTGGAGTACATTATGGATGGTCTATCAAGGTGCATATCATTCATGGGGCACATGCATTTATCTATGATCCATACCAGAAAGGTCCTTTCTAGGAGATCTTACAAGCACAAAACCAGCCTGATTGAATGGTTGTTACCCTCTATTGAATTTCAACCCTTTATAGGGATGGCAAATGCAAAACCTAGCGCTGTGTTTGGATTGGGGCAGAAACAGAAGTCTAGCACAAAAGGATTTCCACTTTCTATTACCTTTAGGAATCACTTTTCAGTTATAAAATATAGCCTGAGCAGAATTCTAAAAGCAGCAGGTTCTTTTGCCACATTCTCCTTTTTTGATAAATAACTTAAATTCATTTCATTAAATCATAAAATTGAAGTACAGTATAATGCAACAAGGGAGAGAAACAGGCTTTCTCTGCCCCTTCAGATTGTTAAAATTCTTCTGAAAACAAATTATTCCTGTTCACCCCTTGTTTAGCCAGATTATCAGCCACAGCCCACAGCATTGCTGACCTTGGTACCCATTTCACCTGCACCTGCATTCCAGTAGTCCACCACTTGAACTTCTTGATTTCATCTTAAATGTCTATTAGAGCTCTTTTGTTCTTTTAACCAGCCCACAAGCACCTTGGTATCCCCTTCAGTTACTAACTTGTCCTCATTTTTCTTGCCTTTTGAACCCCTTGAATCAAAGCCAACCATTCTGCTCTTAGGGAGTCCCCAACCCCCATTGGCCCTGAGAACATATTCTTAATAATAAGGCCCTTTTCATCTTTAAAGGCTCCCCCTGTTCCTGAGGGTCCTAGCTTTCCCATATTACTTCATCAAAGTTGAATTTGATGCATTTTTTTTCTGGCAGAGTCCACATCTTGGACATTATTTTAATTTTTGTGTCAACCACTTCCTTCCACCTCCTAAGAATATCATAAGAAGATTAAGAGGAAAAAGGGGCATGTGCTTTTTATCCAATGTATAACTCTAATAGTGACACATTCTATGACAGCCTTCAAAGATCTTTCCCTCTTTAAAAATTCTAGCATTCCTTTCCTCCCATATGGTCCAAAACACTGCTGCTCTTGTTGCCCTGCACAACATCCTATCTCTCTTCTTTGGCCAGCTGAAGATCAAAGGAAAGGAGGAGCATTGTTCCTTGGCTTTAGCAGATAAGATGTTCATAGTTCTGGTTCAAAACCCAACGATTCCTAAAAGGGAGGACTCCTTTTCAATTTCTACTTCGCCATATCGGAAAACAGCCAAAGTTGATGAGTCAGATGAAATTAGTCGATTTGCAGTGCAAGAATTCTCATGGGCTAGATCAGAATGATTGATGGCCAAAACTTTCATGTGTGTCATTTGCACCACTTTAGTGTTAGTAAAGCATTTTTACAGTATCTGGTATAGATTTGCACCTCTGGTGTTTCCATCATTTTGTCCTCTAATATGTGTCTTTTCTTTTCCTCAGGTTTCTTACTTGTTATGTGCCCTTGGAGATGGACATCTGTTCAACTTTTTATTGAACATGACTACTGGTGAGTTAACAGACAGGAAAAAGGTTTCTCTTGGGACCCAGCCTATTACACTACGCACTTTCTCCTCCAAGAGTACCACCCATGTATTTGCTGCTTCAGATAGGCCAACTGTTATCTACAGTAGTAACAAGAAGTTACTCTACAGCAATGTAAATTTAAGAGAAGTTAGCCATATGTGTCCTTTCAACTCTGCTGCTTTCCCAGACAGGTATAGAAAATCTATTTGTGATTTCTATCTTACGTAAGGAAAATCTAAGATGAATTCTGGACCAAGTAGCTATGCATGTTAAATGAGCTAGTCACCACTTAGGAAGCTTTGTACAGGGATATTGATCTTCATATTCATTTTAATATTGGATATCTCATTGGGAGAATGGTAGAATCAATCAGTTATATTTTGGTCATGGACCCCTTGTCATAACATTTTCATGTAATACTGTTTACTGCTATCTATTTATATGCATGTTATATGTGTTATATGTATTTGTATGAATTTATGATATAAGCTTGCTTCAAAAGAGACAAAATTTTGTATGAATTTATGATATAAGCTTGCTTCAAAAGAGACGAAGTTTTGTATTTATTAATATCATCATCATCATATCAGTGTCATATCAGTGTCATCTTTAGTATTTATGGCTAAAAATTCTCTCTCTTCTGAACTCCCTTTATCAGAGTGTCACCTTTTGGCTGTTCCCAGCTCCTCCTTATTGGTTAAGTACTCTTCAAATACTACATGCAAGCATAGGCTTCACATACAAAAAAAAAAGCAAAAACCCACTCAAGAAAGAGGATAAGAATTTGCACTGTACAAAAAAAGATCCCTTCCCACCCCAGCTTTAGCTAAAGCATCACCAGAATGTTTAAGTTTCTAGGGATCCATCTGAAGCAGTATTGAATAGAAGCTGAAATGTCATGAATTTCTTGCAAGAAATGAGGAAGCCTCCAAGGGCCTGCAGTCTTTTTATCCCAACTGATAGTAATTCTGGAATCACCCTCAACTAAAAAGGGAGTCATCCTACAGGGATTTAGAAGGCTGGAGACCAACCAACAGAGTTTGAGCTTGAACCTCTGCCTCTGGAGCATCTTGAGCGGATACAGAGCCACTAAAGACCCAAAAATGCTCCCATCAGATTTGTAACTCCCATCCAAGCCACCAAAGGAAGATCGGGGGTCTTCTTAAGCCAACATCAAACTTCAAAACGAAAGCACTTTCAGGTCTCAGAAATAAAGGAGAGGAAATCTCAGGGCAAGAAGCTGGAAAGAAATGAAGAATTGCCAACAGGTTTCTGTCCAAATTCCTGTAACTGATACCAGAGAAATCCTTGTCTGATAGCACCCAAGAAAAATTTGAGGCGGCGTCCTTCTTAAACCATCTTCAAAAGAAACCTTTTCTTGAAAATTCTTTTATTTCTCCCTTCCCGTAAATTTCACATGATAATGTTGATAGCTGCATTCTAGAAGATCTTGCCCCTTTTCCCCAGCTTTCTGCCCTTCCATTGACTGATAAACTCACAAACTGAGTTAAGGGGAACCCAAAAGAAGCTACCTTCAAAAATCAGATTGAACAAGAACTGATATAAGCTACGAGACACCTTGCAATTGATTGGAAGATGGTCTATAGATTCCCCATTCTCATAACACAAGCTACTAGACAACAATGCCCAATCCTTTTCTTCTCTAAGATAATCACAAGTGTTAAGCTGACCACAGGAAGCTCTCCATAGAAAGAAAGAGGATCTTGAGGGAGCCGCGGATGTCTATATCTTTCTAATCGGGAAATAGGAGGAAGAGGACCCAGAGACCAGGCTATGGGAGGAGGATTTAGTGGAGAAAAAAAAAAAACATTGGGGGTGATGGACCAGATCAAATTGTCTGGAGTGGAAGAGGAGTGATAAACATTGAAAATCAAAGAAAGCAGGGGGGTTATCTCAGCCATTTCAGTGTTGTTATCAAGAATCCAAGATCTCAATGGAAATTAAAGTTATAATAAAGGCCCTGAGTTTCATTAGAAATAATGGAGAACACCAGGGCTTGTTTGTCATAAGTTAGATGAAAAGGATAGGGAAGGACACACTGAGGGGTGAAGGGCCCCACCAGAGATCAATCCAAAATTTAATTTGATTTCCATTTTTGAGACAGAACCCAAGGAAGGAAAAGGGGAGAGTTTGGATAATACCTTTCCAGGGATTTGCAGCTAGGATCCTATTGAGAAATGAAAAGCTGCCCCTTCCAATGCTACTCCTCCCATATTTACTATGAATGATTTGAGTCCCATAGGGATTCTGGTTTCTTTCGAATTCTCCAAAGCCACTTGCCTAAAAGTGCTTATTTCCTACAGAAATGCAACCAAGACCCAAGCCCCCTTCCTTCTTGGGTTAAACTACATTCCACCCTACCAAGTGATCCCTTTTTCCTACCTCCTCCATTCCACAAGAAGTCTCTCTGAAGCTTTTCAATCTGATTTCTAATTCTTTTGGCACTTTGGAAACCAATAAGTAGTAGCTAGGATGGTTTGGCAAGGAGGCTTTTCAATCTGATTTCTAATTCTTTTGGTACTTTGGAAACCAATAAGTAGTAGCTAGGATGATTTCGCAAGGAGGACTTGATAAGAGTGAGTCTACTTCCTCTAGAAATATAGTATTTTATTCAAGCTTCCAAGTGCTTGTGCTTCTCAACTTTTGTAAAACTGGATCCCAAAATTCAACATTCTTAGGATTACCAACCAAAGGCATGCCAAGGTATTTAGGAGGCCAGTCTTTCAACCTACAGCCAACTGCATTACAGAAATTAATGAGCAACTGATAAGGCATATTAATACCAGTAATACTGCTCTTTAGCCCTGTCACTGCTTCAAAGAATTTCAACACTTTCTTCATGTTAAGCAGGCATCCAACTTGTCTTCAAGAAAGAAAGTTGTGTCATCAGCATATTGAAGATGAGACACATGAATGTTCTCCTTACACTGAACTCTTTAATCAAACCCAAAGCAACAACATTCGGAAGAAAGATATCAAGGATGTCAGCAATCAGGAGGAGGAGCAAGGAGGAGGAGGCATCCTTGACACAACCCTCTTGAGGCCTTGAAAAACCATGGGGGGAACCATTAATGAGAACTGAGAACCAGGCCCCTTGGACACAATCCTTATCCATCTTATCTAAGCATCCCGAAAACCTTTCAACTCACAAACACCTCTAGTCCACTTGATCATCCCTCCCTGTTTTTGACTTCACTGAAATTAGTTATCTTCTCTCAAAAAAAAGATCCCTTCTTTCCTTTCTTTCATGTAACTAGGATACTCTCTACATCTACAGTTTGTCTTCTTTTTCTTGATAGATATTGTGAAATTTTATTAAAAATTAATAACAAGAGAATACAAGCTGTAGAGAAGATGGGCCGAAAGTAGTACAGAACAACCAGAAATTTTCGGACACTTCAACAGTCCAAACACAGCCGAAAGTAGTACAGAACAACCAGAAATTTTCGGACACTTCAACAGTCCAAACACATAAGAAAATAACCCAGAAATCTGAGCACAATTTACAGTTTCGAGCTTCAAACCAGAACCGAGCTGTTCCCCTTCCTTTTTTTTTCTCTGATTCTTCTTGGTCACCGAACCACTTCTCCAAGAGATTCTAGTCTTGGGCACTTCCAATAACCTCCAAGAATCAGGCAACACGAGCCTAAGCTTCCAGCCCTAGAATATTGAAGTTTAGGCCTGCTCTGATACCATGAAGAAAACTGAAGAGAGGAGATCTTGAGAGTTCGGCAATGAGGGTTTGAGAATGAGAGTTTCGAACCTACTCTCTCTCAGCACCCTAACACTTTTTTATTAAGATAGATTTGAATAATTACAAGGAGGCCCTTAGTTGGGCAAGAAATTACAAAGAACTTAATATAGACAGRATGGGYCCAGAATAAGGCCCATTACAGAAAAACATAAATAACAAGAAAGAATAAACAGCCTATGGGCCATTCGGCCCATCATGTAACCACTTCTTGAAGGCTGAACTCAGTGTATTGCCTTCTTGTGGTCGGCTGAACTCAGTTCTTGCTCGTCCTCATTCAGTATACTTGTAGAAGTCATCTGGAATCATATTTGAAGTGGTTACATGATGTACTCAAAGTTTGAAAACAAAAGTGGTGCTGAATATGGACTGGTTTAGGGGACTCCAAGTGATTCCTTATTGACTGTGACYACAGTYAAACTAGATGGAACTAATTATCTGGCATGGTCACAATCAGTAAAGATTTATGTATGTAGTAGAGGAAAGTGGGGGTTCATTTCCGGGAGTAAGAAGGCTCCCCYAGMAGATGATCCATCCTACGAGAAGTGGATGCAAGAAAATTACACTGTCATTGGGTGGCTTGTGAATTCAATGCAACCACAAATTAGCTAACACTACCTATGGATGAATTCAGCAAAGGAAATTTGGGACAGTGTTGTAGAAACCTATTCCCAAAAACTCAATGTGGCCCGAGCATATAAATTGAGAAGTGATGTAAAGAATTTAAGGCAAGGGGAGAA